CGGCCTCCGTGACTCTGCTCTCTCCTGGTTCTCCTCTTACCTTTCTCAGCGCACTTTCAGTGTCACATACAACTCCTCCTCCTCCTCCGCTCCGCTTCCTCTTTCTATTGGGGTACCCCAAGGTTCTGTTCTTGGGCCCCTCCTTTTCTCTCTCTATACCTCCTCCCTGGGCCAACTGATAACCTCCCATGGCTTCCAATACCACCTTTACGCTGATGACACCCAGATCTATCTCTCCACTCCCCAGCTCACCCCCTCAATCTCCTCACGTATCACAAATCTACTAAGCGACATATCAGCATGGATGTCACATCACTACCTTAAATTCTTTCAAAAACTGAGCTTGTAATATTTCCTCCTCCCCGATCCCCCACTCATGACTTTACTATTAAGATCAACAGCACAACGATTGGTCCTTCCCCTCATGCCAGGGTGCTAGGCGTAATCCTAGACTCTGACCTCTCCTTTGGGCCCCACATCCACTCACTGGCTAAATCCTGCCGCCTCAACCTCCGGAACATTTCCAAAATTCGCCCCTTCCTGACTGACATCACAAAACAACTTATCCACGCCTTGGTTATATCCCGCCTTGATTACTGCAACTCCCTCCTCACCGGCCTAACGTTACACAGGCTATCCCCCCTTCAGTCTATTATGAATGCTGCTGCTAGACTCATACACCTTATCAACCGATCAGCGACTGCTGCCCCTCTCTGCCAATCCCTCCACTGGCTTCCACTAACCCAACGTATAAAATTCAAAATACTAACCACAGCTTACAAAGCCATCCACAACACTGCCCCTAGCTACATCACCGACCTCATCCACAGATACCGCCCAAATCGCCCACTCCACTCCTCCTATGATATCCTCCTCTCTAGCTCCCTCATTACCTCCTCCTGTGCTCGCCTCCAGGACTTCTCCAGAGCCTCTCCCATCCTCTGGAACTCTCTACCACAGCATGTCCGGTCAGCCCACACCCTGTCTGCCTTTAGGCAATCTTTGAAAACTCACTTCTTCAGGAAAGCCTACCCCACCTCCACCTAAGAACTGTACTTGAATCACCTCCGTAACATCCAGGATTACATCATATCCTCTCCTCTTTCTTTGCTGTAAAAGGAAACTACAGTTTCCATCAACCACAAGGAATTGTAGGGAATGTGGGCGGGTACACTAGGCCTGTATATGTTGAACGTGTCTGAGAGTCTCAGTCTGCCCACCACTGCAAGTGGGGCTGTATTACATCGCTACTTCCTGGAGAAAGAACTACAGAAGGGATGTGCCAAGACCAGCGGCATGGAGAATAGGAGGCATAGCAGCCACTGATCTTACAAACAGAAAACCAAAGAGAATGAACAGTTTGATTTGAAAATGAATAGGCTATTTCAGAGTAAACCAGATGGATGACATATTCAGTGAAGGTAGGAAATAAGGAACTAGAACCACGAAAATAAGTTTTTGACCGGAGTTCCTTCAAGAACAAAGTGTTTTTTCTTGTTGTTTTGGGTAAATTGGGGAAGGGTTACATCCTCTATAAGGTTTTTATTGCTATCTGTGGCACATGTTCATAATGTTGTCACCAGGACAGGAATTAAAGGGAAATCTCCAACAGGGACACAGATATCAATAAAAAAAAACCTGACTGAAGTTCTACCTTCCACCTACTAAAAATGTTTTTTTAATTGCTCTTGTATCCCTTCTGGACAGATTTTGCCTCACTATTTCATTGACATGACAGAGGTTTTAACCCTTCTTCACTCCATCTAAAAACAAAATAAAAGTTTTGGCTGGATTCCTACTGTAGGATGTTCAGCTGTACAGCTGAGATAAGAAGACTTATTAGCCTGCCTCTCGATTTGTCCCTGTATCTGATGCTCTGATGCAAGCTGTCAGCTTGTCTCTGCTTTGCCTGGAGAAAGCCATTTGTAGCTTTTGTTGTGTTCTCCTGAGCTTTCCGCTGAATCTCATATGGGAGGGTTTTCATGACATCCAGCTGTGCCAGGTATATGGATCTCTATTCCCTTAGATGAAATTGTTCCTCAGCCACATGGGATGGTGTATCAGCATAGTACAGTAACCGGCAGCCACAGGAAATTTAAATGGCCTTTTATCATCTTCCACTTGTCAAATGCTGCACAATGATTTTCATTGCAAGAGACACATTTATTGGGGAATACATTTTCTAGAGTCCTTAAAGGAGAACTCTATTTTTTTTACATGAAGTCAGTTTGATGTAAGCAGTCTTAATAATGTGTGTCAGAATATGAAAAAGTCTTGCTTCTAGGTATAGTGTAATTATCTGTTTATGTGGCGGGCAGACTTTTTGATCCTCTTATCTCAATGCTGATTGATACCAATAGACACCATAGGAGACAATGTGATCTAGCCTGTCTAGGCTTGAGGTCACATGATGAACAGTTATTTTGTTCATGAAAGAAAAAAGTACCCTTCTTTACACGGAATAATAATGCGATTTGACACATTACTGATAAAGTGTTGCTAAACCCAGGACCCTGCATTCACTATATCTGGTCTCCCACTGTACACAGAACATGGGAATGCAATTATTTTAGTAAATGTAAACTGCTGAAAACCTTTTCTCATCAGCAGTATATAGTAGTCGTGTGACTTCTATCAGTGTCTGGCTGAGCACTGGTTAAAGCTTGGAGGAGGAATTTTCTCTACAAGGATTCAGAACCACTGACCTCTGTCTGGACAGTGCTGATTGGCCCTGTGCTAATCACATGCACTCTCCCAAGAAAAAAAAAAACTTCTCTAGCAATACACACCAAATTGAGCATGTGCAGAGTGTCTACACACGATATGTCTTATTAGGAGATAAGAGGGGTGCACTGGAAGAATGGGAGGATCAGAGAAGTCAGGATCAAACATCTTTTTACACAATGCAGAGGATTAATGCTAACAGGCATGCTAACACTTTAAGCTCCGTGCATCATCACTGCGCTGTTCTCAGCCCACCACACTGCACACCAGCCCCTACTTTTGCAAAAATGCTGAGCTGTAAGTGAGAGTGGTGGGAGAGGGAGGCTGGGAGTGCTCACTCAAAGATTTTCAGGGCTGCACATCCGGCACTGGGAGACACTGTGATGCATGGGGAACCTTTTAGAAAAATGAGTGTAAAGATGAACTTTAAAGGAACTATGTAGTGAGGAGGTTTGGATACTGCCAATGCTGAGGTCTCTTGGCAATACTAGATCCTAAATACTAGATACTAAATCCAGTGGCTTCAGTAGTTTTTAATATATGACTCAGAACAATTAAAGTGTGTGTACACCCTTACATATATCCAGTGAAGTGACTGGCCTCAGGTGATACACAGAGATGTAACAAATCCTCCTACCTAAGTTGTACCTCGTTATCTGCAGTCTTCTTTCCATTCAAAGTTCCAAATTTATAAAGCTTGTCCGAGAGTTCAGAAAAAAGGGGGTAGGAAGCTGAAACTACAAATTGCAGAGCTCAGTGAAGAAAGCTCTGAGAGCTGATTGAAGGGAAGAGACACACCTCCCCTCCACACAGCTCACAGTAACACAGCTGAAACTGTCAGTCTGTTGGAGGTCCCTCCCCTGTTACCATGCCTGTCAGGATAGCTTGTCAGAAGTGACTCATGCTGATAGCAGAGGAATGAGGCAGCAGACAGAAATGACACTGAATTGAGACAAGTACACACTATAGAGAGATATGCTTTGTTCATATTTTATGTCTGAGACATACAACCACTTTGGAAAAATTAGCAGTTCTGACTTTGACTTTCCTGATGTGCATTCTGGGTCAGGCTCACAAACAGTTGACGCCAGAGATAGTGGGGTTTATTTACTAAAGCGGGAGCATGCAAAATCAGGCTCACTTCTTCATAGAAACCAATCAGCCGAAAATTACGTTAACCAAGGTACCACTGTATATCATAACTGTGTTGAGTAGGGAGCCATCTATTGGGTATTCAATGCAAATGCACCCAGTTTTATTATGTCCCCTCCAAAAATGAGGCCATCATTTTGACGTGCAAGGACCATGGGTACCACATCACAACCACTGCCATAATAAAACATGTAAATGGGTATAATGAAGTATGTAATGATACATCATGAAAAACTATACCAAGTACAAAAGAACAGCGTCAATATAGACCAAAAGTATGTGTAAATTGGTAGAAATACATTTGATGATTACACATCCCCTTATTGGATACTAGTAGGGACATAATATAAATATATATAGATCATAAAATGATCATATAAAAATAGATGTCCTTTTATCAAGCATTCAAGGGGACAAATATACCAATCAATTTTGTTGTCTCCCAACCATTAGTATTATATAAGAATTTTTTTTTATATTCTCTAAGTGTGAAAAATATGCATGTTAAATGTCACTGTTTTAATATAACAGAATTCCAGGTCACACCTATAAGTTCATGCAGGACAGGTTTACTTAGGAGCACTGCCTTTGGCAAACAGGGTCAGTTTGTAATGTTTTCTCATGCAGCATGTTTGGTGCCACGCAGAGCATGCTGCATACAGCACATGTAAAAATGATTAAATAATTCCTCCATACAATGTACAGTATTCTCTAACTTTGATCAAAGCTGCATCATTTTTTTTTTTAATTTACAGGCACCCCTTATCTGCATAGACTGTTTTTTGGTAAAGGTGAACTTACCCTTTAAAAAATAGTTTAGTCTGTTTTGAAGTGGGGGGGGAGGGGTGTTGACCGTGGAAGGCAAAATATGAGTTAAATAAACTTCAGCATTAAATATATATTAAAAAACATGTAAAGAAAAAAACATTTACTAACATTGTTGTTTCCCTATACCTTCAGCAATTTTGATGTTGTATACATTCATTTAGTATATAGTACTGAATAAAATGTCTCGGATTTCTAAAAGATACATGGCTGCTTATACATATGGTTTAATAAGTAATCTTGTCCTTTTCCCTTTTTCAAGGACTATCTTTCTGGGTTACATCAGCTGTCCCATCACCATGAAGAAGTCACTGGTCTTCCATTTATGTAGTCTGCTATGTAGCATGCTGCTGGTTTCACCAAAGGCTTCATGTCTTTCTCTTCGGAAGAAAAGGGACATCCAAGATGGAAATGAAGAGCTTGTTGGGACAGGTGTCCCTGAATCACTGCCTGGTGGTTCACTTCTTCCAACACAGTCTACCATACCCAAGGATGTCAACATGTCTTTGATCTTGCCAAATGTTGTGCCAGAAGAAATGCAAAACAGCTCTGAACTTCTGAACACCAGCACTGTTAACACAAACCCAGAGGCAAATAATGTTAGTTTTGCTAATGTAGCTGGTCCCACTACTCAGGTTAAACCCTCTAGTGAGGATGGTCTTCTGTCTACTCCTGGCTCCAGCGCTGATTACCCCACTGATTTGCCATCCCTTGGTATACCTATCCAAGGAGATCCAAAGGAACCTAGCCAGTCTCAAGATGAGAAGAGTGTACATTTAGATCAAAGCAATTTGGACAATTCATCCCAGGTTAACACTATCGAGATGTTAACTACCAACCCCAGAACCAGCATTTTCCAGACAGAAGACAACCAGTCCACCACTTCCTCTACACTTATTGGTCAGATGATTACTTCTGTTAATGCAATAACATCTGAAGATCCTATAGGCTTGGAAACCTCAACCTTAGACAACCAAAACAATGGTAGTACAATGTCACAAATAAATGAGGAATGGGATGACACCAAAGATACAACCCTGAATTCTAACAAAGCTGGTAGTGATGTTATAACACCAGTTCCAGACCAGGTGTTAGAAAATGAAAGCAGTGAGACTACTGTGTTTACTATTCATCCAGGAGTGACTGTCCCTTCTGATGACAAATCTGTATTTAGTACTGCCGAAAAGATGCCTGAAGAAAAGCTATCATCTGAGCTTAGGGAGCCAGAAGTGTCTCTTGCACCTGAGACTGATGACTTCCCTACACCACTACCAAGTACGGCTATTGATGATGCCCAAGCTGAAGGTCTTTCAGTGTACACAGGTAAATAGAACATCAGGAATTATAAAACTGTACACTATATTCTCCTTTTAGAGCAATATCATCACTCTATAGGAGGTGTGGCCCTGGCATAAACCATTTCAAAGGTAACAACAATGCTGAAATGCTTCAATTGTTTGGTTCCAGTGAGTCAGTGGGTTAGACATCATATTGATTCCTGAGCATCCCCTTGGGTTCTAGGCCCAAGCTGTTTGCTATTTTTAAAATGGAAGAAAATCCTAATCTTAAAAATGTTCTCACCCCTTCCTCCTACCTATCCCGACTAACCTGTATAAAAAAAAGAGTGTACTTACCCATTTTTATTCCAGTCCAATCATGTGATCCCGCAAGCTCCAGCTCCCCTGTGTCAGTGCGAGGCAGCTGAGGGAGGAGAGGAGGGGGCGCAAAGAATGGCTGAGCTATTGGTGGGAGGCTATGGGTGATGTCATAGCTTTTGGAATGCAGAGCCATTGTTGAGCACTTCCTGAGCTGGAGCTGCAGGATCAAGTGAGCAGGCCATCTGAAAAATAGGTAAGTACACTGGTCTCTTTTTATGCAGGAGGGGTGGGGTGTGAGGGAACATTTAAAAAAATAGTTAGACTTAGGATTTTAATTTTACGTTAAGCCCATGGTTCAGTTTAGCACGGTTGTTCAAGTGTATGTAACCTGCCCGTAACACACTCCCTGTCCTAGGGTGACAACACATACTGTACTCTATCTATATAGGAGCAGTGTTTCACTAGGATGGAAAGTGTATCAGGACTACAAAACAAACTCCTCTCATTATCTCTAAAACACAAGAAGTGTTTTGTTATATAGTCTACAGAGAGAAATGGCGAAAAATTCAAACTGATAAGAGTCAGCAGAGACAAAGTGCACTGGACGTTATCTGGACGTTAGATGACATTTACCTCCAGCAGTCCTCTCTAGTGAGGATTCCAGAAGTTCTCCTGTAAATTAAAGTGATTCTAAAGGCTGATCTTTTTATGAAACAAACAGAAGGATATGTAGTGAGCGCTTTATCCTAAAAGCAGCTATGCACTCAAAGCAACCAATATATGCAGTAAATCAAATGATATAAATTAGTGCAGCGCTAAAATCATATGTAAAACTAAAAATAAATTCAAACAACGTCCATAAAGTCTATGAATTGTGATCATAGAAACTAATAGGTACTGGTGGTGCTCCTTGGAAAATGATAGAAATGCGCACTCACCAGAAATAAATAAGGTATGACCATTGTATAAACTCCCTCATCAGAGGTCTGGTCAAAGGTCTGGTCAGCTTGGGCAATCCTCCCTTCCGTGTGATGACAGGACTTCAATGAAGAAGAACAAGATCCAGGTAACCAGAGGTTTCCTCAAAGGGGCTGGCTAGAAGGAACTGCCTGTTTACAGGAAATCTTCCACCTCTTGGTATGGTGCCTGGGTCTGAAAATAAGTACTCCTCTCAGGGAGTTTAGGGAAGGATGCCCATAGTGTAGAAGATTATCAAAAGAACTTTATTGTAAACATTCAAGGTATCCAAATCACGATAAGTAGTAAAATAACATCCAGGTATAGTGTGAACTAACCCTGTGGATATAAAAGGTGGCCGCCGGGCCTCCACGTGGCTCCGGTGGCATAGCGTCACGACATCCGGGCTCCTCCTAAGCCCTATGGGCATCCTTCCCTAAACTCCCTGAGAGGAGTACTTATTTTCAGACCCAGGCACCATACCAAGAGGTGGAAGATTTCCTGTAAACAGGCAGTTCCTTCCAGCCAGCCCCTTTGAGGAAACCTCTGGTTACCTGGATCTTGTTCTTCTTCATTGAAGTCCTGTCATCACACGGAAGGGAGGATTGCCCAAGCTGACCAGACCTCTGATGAGGGATTTTATACAATGCTCATACCTTATTTATTTCTGGTGAGTGCGCATTTCTATCATTTTCCAAGGAGCACCACCAGTACCTACTAGTTTCTACGATCACAATTCATAGACTTTATGGACGTTTTCTGAATTTATTTTTAGTTTTACATATGATTTTAGCGCTGCACTAATTTATATCATTTGATCTTTTTATGCCTTCATGCATTCTTTGCAAGAAGGTAAAAAAAAACCTTCAGTATGTAGCTCCCCCTGCACCCCCCCTCCAAACCCTACCCGATTGCTATCCAGCACTGTGCATGAGAGCAGCTGCTCTACTGGGTCTCTCTCTCCTCATTGGCTCAGACACAGAAGTGGGAGCCATTTACTCCCGCTGCTGTCATTTAGAGCCAGTGAGGAGGGGGGGGGAGCTGTTTCTTGTTCTGTGTATCCTATGGACATACAGAGCAGGGCTCAGGAGTGAGCACGCATGAATGCCTCTAGAGCAAGCGGCTTGCTCTGGGGGGACACGCAACAGGAGGGAGGGGCCAGAAGTGTGGGTGGTGTACCTGACAAGAGGCGGGAACACTATTACACAGAGCAGGTAAGTATAACATGTTGGATATTTTCTCATTAATTTTGACTTTTAATATCACTTTGAAGCTGGACTCCAGGTATGATCTTAATTGCATACTTACACTGGTCCACCTGATACCTAAAGGAGCGCTGGGGAATCTGACCATCACCATGGAGTATGAGCGCTACTACAATGATTGTTATGAACTTCTGGGTCCTGTGCTGCCACTGTGGCCATTCAAAAAAAAACCCTTACCATTTTTTCAGTGACTGCAAGGTGACGTCACTGTCCATCCTCTCCATCTCGTCCAATCAAAGAATGTCTTGTATTCGTTAAAGCAAATACAAGGCCTTCTGGAGGTGGTGCCAGCGAGTGACCCCCTTCTGGCCAGTTTGTGGTGGAGCAGCTGCTGAGCACAGGACCTGGAAGATCGTGACAATCACTACTACAGTGATTGTCAGCTTCTACAGCGATCTCTCAGGTATGAGATATGCATACTTACATTTTTCCAAGCTGGACCAATGTAAGTATGCCATTAAGATTATACCAGGAGTTCAGCATTAAGAAAGGAAGGAAATAAACTTCTTTCTGTGCAGTTAAAATAATTTGAAATTTAATATTCAGACTCGTGCATAAACTCAGTTGTGACTGGTTCTCTTGAAATTCTTTTTTCTCCTTTTGGGAAATGGATTTTATTCCAAATGAGTACAATTCTCAAATTAAATCTGTAAACTGTTGGACACTTTTTATGGATGACTGTGATGTGATGGGAATGTGGGATTTTAGATCTAAGGACCTCTGTGTGATAAAATTGCTCAGATAGACGTCCTGACCTTTGCTTGTGTTCAGTTGATAGGAAGCAGTCTTTCCCTTGACTGTTCGATCTTGCCCTGGGTGGACAGGGGCTGTCAGAGCTAAGCTGTGTTTTGCTGAGAGCAGTGTTATTTTATATACAGAGAGAGAAATGGCTGGCAATTCAATTAACAAGATAGAGATAGCAAAACTCAAATCTGCCGGAGAACATTATCGAAGGCTTCAGCTTTTCTATGCCAGCAGCTACTAAGCTCGATGTAGAAGAAGGAAAATGTTGCTTTTGAATTTACCTTGGCTTGTTTTTGTCTATTGTGGAGTCTGATGAGTTTCTCCATCAATTTGTCATCCTTAAAGTAAACTCATGCTTTACTCCAACCAAAGTATTAAGTTCATATTAACCACTTGCCTACAGGGCACTTTTACCCCCTTCCTGCCCAGGCCAATTTTCAGCTTTCAGCGCTGTCGCACTTTGAAAATTGTGCGGTCATGCAACATTGTACCAATATGAAATTTGTATAATTTTTTTGAGACAGATAGAGCCTTCTTTTGGTGGTATTAATCACCTCTGGGTTTTTTATTTTTTGCTAAACAAACCAAAAACAACTGAAAATTTAAAAAAAAAAAGTTTTTTTTCTTAGTTTCTGTTATAAAATGTTGTAAATAAGTAATTTTTCTCCTTCACTGATGTGCACTAATGAGACTGCAGTGATGGGCACTGATAGGCTGCTCTGATGGGCACTGATGAGGAGGCACTGGTAGGTGGCACTGATGGGCACTGAAAGGCAGCACTCATATGGCACTGATAGGCGTCGCTGTTAGGCGGCACTGACTGGCACTGATAGGTAGCGCTGTCTGGCACTGATAGGTGGCACTGATAGATGGCACTGAAAAGTAGCTCTGATGGGCACTGATATATATAGCATTGATGTGCACTGATGGACACTGACAGGTGGCATTGCTGGGCACTGACAGGTGGCATTGATGGGGCTACACTGATCCTGATGATCAGTGTACATGTCCTCTCTGAGGAATGACGATTACCGGCTCTGCTCTCCTCACGAGCTGTCAGCGTGAGGAGAGGAATGCCGATAACCAGCATTTCCTTATTTACATGCGATCAGCTGTGATTGGACACGGCTGATCACATGACCGAGCCGACATCATCAGGCTCGTTCGGCTGATCGGTGATCCGCTGTGTCCCAGGGACACCAGTCCTCATATTGAGAATGAGAGAACCGCCCTTCTGTCATTTCCTTATATGGCACGTGGGAGGCGGTTAATAATGGCCACAAAAACAGACATACTTAAAGTATATGTGAACCCTCCCCTTGTAAAACAACCCATTCAGTTTAAAAATAGAAATGAAAGGCAAAACATTTGTGTTTATATCTAAAATACATTATAAATATAATTTTCTCCTTCTTTTTTCTTTTTATAAGTGATCACATTCCCTCTATTATCAGCTGCATAAGGTTCTCAGAGAGCAGGGGGAGGAGGAACAGAAGCACACTGATCTGGTCCGTGAATGGCTGTGCAAGCAAGGGGGGGGGGGGGGGGTTGGTTCAGCACTTGTCTGATCATTGGAGGAGAGCAGGCTGAGTTCCCAGCACAACTAGAAAACTGACCACGCTGTGCTCTCATGCCTCCCCTCAGTGCAAAATACATGAAAGCCTGCTTGGAATTTGCAAAAGCTTTTTTTTTTATTTTTCACAAATTTTGTAAACATTTCTAAAATTCTGTTTTTCACATTGTCATGATGGGGTACTGAGTGTAGATCAATGAGAAAAAAACTGAATTTAAGCAACTGTATCAGGCTGCAACATAACAAAATTAGAGAAAAAAGTGAAGGGGGTCTGAATACTTTATAAATTCACTGTATAGGCTGAGGACTTTCTCTGTGACAGTACTAGGCCAATCAACAAACACCAGCACTGTCACATGGGATTAGTGGGAGAGTAAGTCACAGGCTCCCCCATACCTAGAAGTACCAGGTGGTTTCTTTGCTTTCAAACCAACAGGGAACAAAGGAAATGTGAGTGTGCTCTACTGGAATGGGGGCCCTAAAGTAAATTGTTTTCCCTGCAATAACAAAGCACAGACGTGCTTTAGAGTTGAGTCCAGGCAAACAACTAAAAATATAAATAAAATAAACAAGGTGTTCTGTTACTGTTATCAATGCCAAAGGCTTTGTAATTTTCACCAGCCATTTGTGATACCCATGCTTTTTTAGTCATGTTACTCTTCTACTTCTTGGGTCACCTTTTCAGATTTCCAGGATCAGCTCCCTGCTCCATAGGCAGAGGTGATGGGCTCACAGTTCCAAAAACTAATTTATAGCAGCAAAAATGCCAAAATACTGGCCAAATTCAGGATACAAATACACATTGAGCTCTGGTATGAAAAGGATAGATCTTGTTATTAACATTCCAAAATACTGGAAACAAATATATTCCCCTGCTTTCAAAACTGGTACAAAGAAGTAAGGCAGACCTTAGATTATACATTATTCTTTCTTCCATCGCTGGTGGAAGGAAAGAAAAATGCTCGATTCTCCTATCAGTACAGTCAGTGTTGATGGGGGAAACACTCCCGCGGTGCTATTGTGTTCTGTCGGCCAGTGCCAGCAGCACTAATCATTCGGGAAAAACCCGGCAGACTGGTTGTATACAAGTTGATTGATAGTGTATAGCCAGTCCATATATGGATCGGAAGTCGACTGGTCCCTGCTGAGCTGTCTGAATTTCGATCTACAGTATGTATGGCCGGCTATGTTTGAAATGGAAGACCTCACTTCCTCTCTACAGCATAGGAATGTGGAATTCTGAGTCACTTGGTGTCCTTGATTTACCTTGAACAATATAAAAAATACTTGCAATACAAATACTTTATTTACTATCTGCTTGTCTAAGACTTGGGATAAGACATGAATTCCAAAGACCAAGCAGTCTAACTACTCAGGAGCTCCAGGGGTGCATCACATCTGCTCCAGGGAACTCTTTCTTTGCGTAAAGCTGGGTACACACGGGCTGAAACCGGTCACGTCGGCAGGAACTGGACAACTTTCTGCCTGTGCGTACAGCTCTTCATCTGCAAGATGTGGGAGGGATGTTGGTTTCCTATCGCCCGACGCCTGGGACATGTAGTGCCGGACAGGTAGTTTTTTTTTCTACCTTTTAGCCCTGCTCCGGTCAAGCACCTGGCACACAGTACCAGCTTCTCCGTGCAACCCCCCCCCCCCTTCTCCCCGTGAGGTTTACGGGCTTCACTTGCCCATCTGCGGACCTGGCTCACCGTCGGCTAGAGGGGAGGGAGAAGAGCGAACAAGTCCACTCCCCTTCTTGTGCTGAACTGGAAGTGACATTACGATGTCACTTTCAGGTCCCCACTTAGAGATTATAATACAATCCCCGGGAAAGAATGTAATACAATGCAATGTGCACCACATTACATTCAGTGGAGCAGAGGGAAGACATACAGGGTCTTTTAAACCTTGGATTTCTAAAAGAGAACCTGTCACCAAAAATCAGTACATAGGGGACTTTGTCCCCTATGTGATGGGAAAAAAAAAATGAAAAAAAGTTTTTTTTTGAATTGTAAATTGTGTGGGCATGCTGCAAAACCAATGGGCCAGTCCTCCTGTTGGAATACAATAGCTCAGTAGGGAGATCGCTGCACTAAGGGCTCGTTCACACTTTACTCATTTCTAACGCTTGCCAAATGCCCCTATAGCATTTGACAGGCGTTAAACAGGCATTTGGGAAGCGTTTTTAATGCTCCTCAAATGCTCAAATTTGCCGCGACGCTAACGCTTCAGTGTGAACAGAGCTGTGAGCTGCCATGTGTAGAATTTTCATAGGCATTTCAGGAGCATTAAAAACGCTTCCCAAACGCCTGTCTAACAACTGCTAACAAAGCTAGTGTGAACTTAGCCTAACATTGGATGTACGCCAATCTGTACGTTTTTTTTTTTTCGTTCAGCCCACTGGGTTAAATGAAAAACAACTTCCTCTGTGTACCCAGCATTACTCTTACTAGATATTTGCTCCCCCCCACCCCCTTTCCCAACTTTGTTAAACTAATTATTTTTCTTCCAGCATTCTTTCCTTTTCTTTACCATTATTTCTATCATACCTCTTCTATAATCCCCCACACAGTTTTACCAAAATAATCCCATCTGCAAAATGTTACTGTCATAGGCATAATGTGTAGGGTGAGTTTGAATTTTAGTAATCCGTAAAAAACTTGATTGTAGACAGATCATGTGAAGATCACTAATATTGGTTTTATAGAATGTAATTTTTTTCCATGACAAAATGTTGGATTTGATTTTTTTCATTCTCATTATTTTCTCTTTTTATGAATGTATATTTGTTTTGTGTGGAACAGGCTATGGCATCTGCTCCTCAGTTGTCAAGAGGCTACAAGTTCCATCATGTTCTGTCAGGGCATCTGGAAAGTGTAGTGCAGTATTTAAAGCCTACTGTAGATCTGTATAGAGAAGCTCTGCATATAGCAGTGATGCAGTGCTGTAGTCCATGGCAAATAATCAGACTTCCCCTTTAATTAATATAGAGCAGTCAGAGTAATGAAAGGTTCTGATGGACTGGTTGCTGTGGGTTATTGTACGCGGTACATTGCCTAATTCAGTAAACCTCAAAAACTTTTTTTTATTCTTTTCTGTTACTTCAGTCAATGGTTTATGTTTTTTTGTGCAGCAGATGTCAAGCAGCCAGATTTGGACATAAGTGAGAACACAAATGTCACTGTGGCTCCTGCTATCATATTGGATGTTGCAAGTCAAGAAGCCAGCAGGGAGCCTAGTGTGATTGATAAAGCAGAAGAGACCATGAAGCGGAATGCAACTCCACAGGTGGTGATCCCCCGCAATGAGTCTGCTACAGCTTCTCCGACTACTACGGCTTCGGTCATACCTCTTGAATTTCCTAGCACTGAAAGTACACTCAATGGTAATATTTATTTTATCTACCTGTCAAACTGTCTTCTGGCTCGGCCTTTTTTATGTCTTTGTGCCATTCTTGAATAGACCGGATTGGGTTGTCAGGTCCTGCAAAGAGTATTGGTTATCTCTATTACTAGAAAATTGGGATTCCAGTAACTTTAAATGTTGAGTTCTAAAACTTTGTTCTTTGTTTTGTTATTTTAAATTCACACTCGTCCATTTTCCTGCAGCAAACACATACATTTTACAATATGAAAATATTTTTTCGAATAGAAATACCATCTCCCTATGGGCCTCGAGACACTTCAAGAGTCTGTACAAGAATAAGCAACATATGCAGATAATAGATAACAAATCTACTGATTTCCCAGCCATAGGATATCGGAAAACTGTATCAAATCATTTCCATTATTTTTCTTTCCCGACACCAGTCCATGGCAGCGTACTACCACACGTGTGCCACCATGTTGGTGCCAGGATAACACATTTGTCTGGTGGAGTTACATTTCCATCAGTCTATAGACACATGACGAATCCTAATATTTACCATGAAAATTTTCTATCAGTTATTTTTTTATCGATTTGTATAATAAAATATCTTAAGGTTAAAAAGAGAAAAAAAAAAAAGTAATATCATTCTTTGCTGTGTGGCTGTATCTATAGAAAATGACACCTATGGCAAGCACTGAAATTGTTGCCCTGTCCTAACATCTGATAGCCATATTTTTGATGACTTTACTATAATATCAAATCAAAAATGTGCATCAGTGTAGTTGTTCCAGGCTTCAACTGTTTGCCCTAGCAACACTCATACTGCATTGCTGTGAGTATCATAGACTGTCCTGGAGTCTTCACATCATAGTTCCTCAGAGCCACACTCATATCAGTTCCCTACCTTACAATTAGTACAGCAGCAGCAAAGAATGGGAGGCAGAGCAGTTCTGGATGGCAGTGGACCTCTGCCCTCTTCTGAACGCTGTGTGTGGTACAGGCTGTTGCTTCCACTTGATCAGCATCATGCCTTTCCATGGTGTGGGAGAGCCAGCATTAACATTAAACAGATAACTGCAGGAAATCTTACATCTTACAATAAAATAAGGGGGCTTTGATCTGATAGGAGGTGCTAGCAAAGGTTTTGAAGGGTGCTATAGCACACCCAAGTGCTCCTCTGGAACAGTCCACTGTGTGGCACCCCCTTCAAGTGACACCCAGAGAATTTGCCATAACCTGGATATGCCATTGAATATGCTGCTGCTGGTTCACATGTACAGTGGGTATGGAAAATAATCACACTTTGCGGCTTTGCCGTGTGAAATGACACAAGGGGGTGACCCTTTTTCCACCTCAGTGGTTTTTCTGACATGTTGGTGTTATATCTTTCAGTTGGATGTTATAAGTTGCACAGCTAGATAAAACAAAAACTGTCTTTGTCTTCATTTTAGGCTGAAAAGCAACAAAATGTGATTATTTTAAAAAGGGGGGTGGGGGGGGGATTATTTTCTCTACCCACTGAATGTACTATAGTTAGTAATTCCAAAGTTTGTAGTTTTTTTTTTAAATAGCACGTTATACTTTCTCTAAGCAATAGTTTTGCACAGAGCAGCCCCAATCCTCTTCTTTTTGGGTACCCTGCAGGCGATCCTGGCTCCTCCCCCCTGCTGAGTGCCCCCAATAGCAAGCCTCTTGCTATGGGGGCACTTGGGCAGGCTCAATCCCAAGACATTTTCCATTCACACACAGAGTGCTGCTCGCACTCCTCATTGGCTCACTAGCTGTGATTGACAGCAGCAGCAGAAGCAAATAGCTCCCGCTGCTGTGTGAGCAAAAGAGGAGAGAGAGACCTGGCAGAGCCGCTGCTCTTATGCACATCTCTGGATTGAGATGAGGCCCAGGTGAGTATAAGGGGGAGCTGTGGATGGGGGTGGAGAGCTTCACCCAGAAAGGTTTTTAACTTCCTGCATAGAATGCATTAAAGTGGTTGTAAACCCTTACCCCTGGTTCACATCTGTGCGGTTGTGTGGGCCACGATTTGCATGGGCATGAGAGGCTATTCATTTGAATGGACTCCCGTGCCCCAGGACACACAGGTAAGAAGTCCCTGCACTACTTGGGAAATCGCAGCCCGCATGGAAACCGAGGTTCCCAGTATGATTTCAGTTTCCAATGCAGGTGGCGTGCCATTAGAATTAATGGCACCCGCCTGCGGTTCCCGCATTCCTCTATGTGGGTGGTGCTGCTGCAGGTATTTGTGCGGGTGCTGCAACGGCACCACCCGCACAGATGTGAACCAGGGGTTACACATACCCAGTGAAGGGACTGGCCTCAGGTGATACACAGAGATGAAACCAATCCTCCTACATTAGTTGTACCTGTTTATCTGTAGACTTCTCTTTGTTACATTCATCCAGTGTCCAGAATTTATAAAGCTTGTCAGAGTTCAGAAAAAAGGGGACGAAGAGATGAAGTCATATGAGGAGAGCTCTGAAATTTGATTGGAGGGAAGAGACACTCCCCTCCACACAGCTCCCAGTCAGTCTGCTGGTGGTCCCTCTCTGTCACCATTTTTCTGTTGGTGTCAGGAAAACTTGTCAGAACTGAATCATGCTGATAGCAGAGAAGCAACAGACAGAAATGAGACTTAGTACTGTGGATTGAGACAAGTACACACTATAGAGGGATCTGCTTTGTTCGTATTTCATGTAAACCACTTTAAGTTATAAAAAAAACCTTATGCCTTTAGAACTACTTTGTTTGCTTTTAAAGTGAAACTACTGTATAAGACCACATTCACTCCTATATGTGTGCATGCTTGGTTGTAAATAAAACCTAAATTGTCCACCTAAAACAAAACAAAGCTCACATTTATCACAAAACAAATACAGGAAGCCCTACAGACTATTACACATTACATATGCTTTTATATTTTTATGTATTGTTCAGAATTGGCTAAGTTAATTACATAAAAGGATACTAATAAACTCAATCATATGTCACTCTTTTAGGTTCACTCTCTGAGCAAGAAGATGGTTTGGCTGGTTCAATATCTTCAATTGTACCTAAAGCACCAGCAGAGACTGAATCTACTACCATTACAGTGGGCACATCTGTCCCCCAAGTCAGTGTGTGATGGCTCCCCCAACCAGAAGAATCACAACAACACCAGGCTATGGCCTGGACAGGCTGGAATCAGAAGGTAGGAGTGAAGTCTTTTCTTCTGAATTTGGACTATACACATTTAACATTTATTTGTAGAACCCCAACAGTATTCTTGATACATAATTGATGATGAGAGTTTAAAAAAAAAGGGTATTTTCTCTTTGGCAGGGTTTATTAACCACTTCAAGTCTGGACACTTTTACCCCTTTCCTGTCCAGGCCAATTTTCAGCTTTCAGTGCTATCACACTTTGAATGACAATTGCGCGGTCATGCAACACTGTACCCATATGAATTTTTTTAGCATTTTTTTGAGACAGATAAAACTTTATTCTGGTGGTATTTAGTCACCACTGGGATTTTTTTTTTTTGCTATATAAATGAAAAAGTCCAAACATTTTGAAAAAAAAAGTGTTTTTTTCTTATAAAATTTTGCAAATAAATAATCTTTCTTCATAAATCTTAGCCAAAATGTATTCCTCTATCTTTTTAGTAAAAAAAATAAATAACCCAAATTACTTTATTACCAAAAATTATAATTTTTCAAAATTATTTTTACATTTTTTATTTTATTTTTTTATTATTATTATTTGTTTTTTTTTTTTTCAACATACCGTCACCCTAGCAGTACAGTGTCACCTTAGTGACACTGCACTACTTGTGGGGGTGATGAAGATTAGCCTTGTACCATGTGACCTCTGTGATCATTCACAAATTTCAAAAGTTGTATGCAATGTCAGGAAGTGAATTCTTGTTTACTACTGTTCATGTAATCACTGATTGGCCAATCAGGGATCACATGACTCGAGACCTCACACAGAGGTCTCGTACAGCAATCGGAGTAGAGTCCCTGAGAGTTAGAAGGAACCTCCAGATTTAAAGTTGAACTTCTGGCAAACCACTAATTACACAGACACACACACACACGATTTGTGTGTCTGCTTATCCAGTTCTAGGATTTACACAGCCCCGCCAGTAAATTATTTATTTTGCAAATAAATAATCTTTCTTCATAAATCTTAGCCAAAATGTATTCCTCTATCTTTTTAGTAAAAAAAATAAATAACCCAAATTACTTTATTACCAAAAATTATAATTTTTCAAAATTATTTTTACATTTTTTATTTTATTTTTTTATATTATTATTTGTTTTTTTTTTTTCAACATACCGTCACCCTAGCAGTACAGTGTCACCTTAGTGACACTGCACTACTTGTGGGGGTGATGAAGATTAGCCTTGTACCATGTGACCTCTGTGATCATTCACAAATTTCAAAAGTTGTAAGCAATGTCAGGAAGTGAATTCTTGTTTACTACTGTTCATGTAATCACTGATTGGCCAATCAGGGATCACATGACTCGAGACCTCACACAGAGGTCTCGTACAGCAATCGGAGTAGAGTCCCTGAGAGTTAGAAGGAACCTCCAGATTTAAAGTTGAACTTCTGGCAAACCACTAATTACACAGACACACACACACACGATTTGTGTGTCTGCTTATCCAGTTCTAGGATTTACACAGCCCCGCCAGTCATCATTCACAAGCTGATGACCTGAGTTTTCTCTACAGCAGTTAAGCAATAAGGATTGGTCACCTCCCCACCCCAGCCTGTGATTGAACAGTGAGGGGAGGCAAATGTGCACTGCAGCAGACCGGATTGGCTCCTAGTCCTGCCCCTCCCTCTCTTATTCTGACTGCTGCTGCTTAGAAGAACATCAAAGGGCTGATATCACGTCAAATTCAGGTACTTTGGTTAGCTGAATTTCAAGATAAATGTCGTGATTTTTATTAAATGCAAAATTTGCACTTATTGTAATGTCTGCATGAAGTTCAGTTTTAAATTTCTGTTTTAGTTCAGCTGTTGCTTTAAAGCAGGGCTGTCAAACTCTATTTTATCGCGGGCCGTATCAGCATTATGGTTGCTCTCAAAGGGCTGCTTGTATTTGTAAAACTTGATGTCCAGAGCACCCCACCCTCCATTGCATCAGATGTCAACAATCCCATACCCCCCCTAACATCACCGTGCACCCCCTTTGGGGGCAGAGCTGGAAAGCAGAAAGTGCAGGGTCTGGAGGAGGACCAGAGGACGAGTGGAATCAGTTACCAGAGTCTGCTGAATGCTGAGACCAGGGGAGGCAGAGATGAGGGGGTGCTGCAGCTGCACTGAGAGGTGCAGGATTTGGCGGAGGAGTTCTATACTCCTCTGCTGTCAACTGCTGAGACAAGGTGGGGGCGGAGACAAGATGGTACCTGCAGGCGAGGTGCAAGGGCCACATGAAATGGCCTGGAGGGCCAGATTCGGCACACGGGCCTTGTGTTTGGCGCCTGTGCTTTAAAGGATATGCTTCAACACATATAACACAGACGGTCCACTGTTCTAACCATAAGGAACCCACACTGAGAAGTGCCGTGGAGTCATCACTGAGAAGTGCCGTGGAGTCATCACTGAGAAGTGCCGTGGAGTCATCACTGAGAAGTGCCGTGGAGTCATCACTGAGAAGTGCCGTGGAGTCATCACTGAGAAGTGCCGTGGAGTCATCACTGAGAAGTGCCGTGGAGTCATCACTGAGAAGTGCCGTGGAGTCATCACTGAGAAGTGCCATGGAGTCATCACTGAGAAGTACCATAGAGTCATCACTGGAGTGCATGTATATGGACAGGAAAAGGCTGCAAAGAGGATGCAGGATATCCACAACACTAGGATGGATGAAAAAAATTAAAGGCTAAGTTCACCTTTACAACATGTTACATGTTCCATCCATTTTTAGGATGAAACATGTAAAATGATGCACCATCTGCATCTTCTTCCTCCCCTGATCCCCCTTCATGACAACGGGCAGGTGATCTTCCCCCTCATCACAATTTGAAACCAATGCAGCTGTGCAGTGCACCGCCCACACTGCCCCATCATTCATTCCCCGTTTCCTATGAATGGATAGACTACAAGTACTGTCAGCTATTGCAGCTGTCAGCTTCTAGTTCTCAATGAACTACGAGGGCATTGGTGAATGCACGTGTAGTTCATTGATTCTTCCTGTTCTCAAGTTACTGCCTGTCCAATCAAGGTACAGGCAGACAGCTACACTGACAATCTGCAGGAGTCTGAGATTGCACCCGCAATGCTCTGCAAGCTCCTTAGAAAGAAAATGCACATTTTTTACCTGCAAAAAAATTTAATTTTTTAAACTTGTCTTTTAAAAACAAGGATTTTGCCAAAAATAAAAAAAAATGGCCATTGTTTATACACAATGCTTGCCCTCCAGAGGATTTACCCCCCTTCCTAACCAGACCATTTTTTGCATTACGGTGCTGCGTTACGTTAACTGACAATTGCGCGGTCATGCAATGTTGCACCCAAATGAAATTTATGTCCTTTTTTTTTTCTCACGAATAGAGCATTCTTTTGGTTGTATTTGATTGCCTGTGCGTTTTTTATTTTATGCCTGTCAAACTCTGAGAAGCTGACAGGTGCTGCAGCTTTACAGTGCACCAAGCTGTGCTAACGTTTAGGGCAGTATGTACTGGCATTCCAGGCATTTGTCCCCGGGTGGATACTGTCCCTTCCAGTTATGCAGCTGTCAGCTTCTTCTAGAGTTTCACAGGCTGCCTGCAGGGGTGGGACAATGCACCTGTGTCCTCTCGCCTGAACTTACATGTCAGAGCCTCATGCAGCATGGCTAAGGCTAGGTTCACATCTGTGCGGGTGGTGCCGTTGCAAATCCGCACGAAAATCTGTGCAGCCGCACCACCCGCACAGAGGAATGCGGACCCGCGGGCAGGTGCCATTAGTCCTAATGGCACACCGCCCACAGTGAAAAATGCAACCGTACTGGGAACCGAGGTTCCCGTACAGCTGTTTTTTCAAAAAAAGTGCAGGGACTTCTTCTCTGCGTGTCACGGGGCACGGGAGTCTATTCAAATGAATGGGCTCTCGTGCCCACGCAAAATGCGGCCCGCACGGCCGCATATATGTGAACCAGGGGTAAATGCCTATAAGGCCCCAGTTACACTGGGTGCGACTTGGCATGCGATTTGCATTCCATACTACTTGCAAATCACATGCCAAGTCGCACCCTATTGTCCGCAATTACAGCGGTCATAACGGTGCGGTTCTGACTTGGTCGGTACCACACCGATTTCTATAGTAGTACATGCATTACTTTTGGTGTGATTTGCATAGACATCTGTGTGAGAAGTCTAGAAAATCGCACCTCAAATCTGCAAGTCACCCGGCTTTGAAATCGTGCGACTTCACTGTAAGTTGCACGATTTCACAGTCGGGTTCGGTGTGACCGGGGTGTCAGTGTGCATGAGGCCTTAATTTTGGGTTTATATCCACTTTTATTGTAATACACGAACTATTGAGAGATTACTGCCTGAGGTGAGTGTGAATATTAGTGCTCCTTTCTGCTTTTCAGATGCAGCCATTCAAATTTCCCCCATAGTTCTGATTACAGTTAAACTAATGAAAGTATGTTGCTAGTACATAACGGCTAGCAACATATGACAGTGTTACTCTAGATGGACTTTTGTGAGCGAACATAAAAGGAATCGTCATGATATTCTGTAAGTGGTGATATGTGCCCTGCTAAGTCACCCTTCATCTTCATTATAGACAAAGATTTATAGACGATCCTTTCACCTGTGCAGATGCGACAGGGTGGCCTCAGTGAAAATCGTAGGTAGGAGTTCAGTCATAGTCTGTAAATTGCAAATTAATTTTGGAATTTTGAAGAGCTGTGTTAGTGCTGTAGGCTTAACTCTAGGCATGGATAAGACACATTAATTAATGAAGTTCTATAATCAATTAAATATAACCAAAAGTCATTATATGCAAGTCGAAACAAGTTCATATCAGTTACTATGTGATACACAAGCCTCATAAACAAAAAAACTTGATTGAGCCAAATCCTCCTTCTTTTGTGTGTCACATGATCCCCCTCCTAGACACTGCAGCTCACAGTAGGAGGGTTTTTAGCAACTGAACTATCAATCCAGAAAGCAGTGGGCAAGACTAGGTGTAGCCAGGTGCTGATTG